CAACATCATCATCATCATCATCATCATCATCATCATCATCATCATCAGCAGCAGCAGCATCATCATCATCATCATCAGCATCATCATCATCAGCATCATCATCAGCATCATCATCATCATCATCATCATCATCAGCATCATCATCATCATCAGCAGCAGCAGCAGCATCAGCATCAGCATCATCATCATCATCATCATCCAAGAGAGGCTCTCGCCTTCGCGCGGCGCGCAAGCGTCTCGAAAGCCTGCAGGCTCTGCAAGGATGGAGGGCCGTGCGTTTCAGGGCCCGCGAACGTCCGCCTCAACATGTTCGAAGGGCTGCCCAGGATTGAGCAGGGGGACCGACCGTACCGGCATTCCTGTAGGCCTACCACGACATGTTCTTAGAACCCAAAAATGTTCCAATAACAAAAACAGGTTCTGTTTAAAACAAGACGGGTCTCGGCCAGAAATGCTCCAAGAACATTCCGTGGAAACCACAAAAGGTTCTTTAGACCATTGTTTGGCAGGCCTACAGGCGAGCCAGGACGCTTCGCCACTGCCCGAGTCCAGGAGTCGACGAGCGCGTTCCACTACTCGCAAGTAACTACTCGCAAATGGCCTGGATCCCCCACGGGGGATCTGCGATAAATCACATCAAATCAGACATGTGTTGTTCGGACGTTTGCGAGTATAACCAGCCTCGAACGTATCCCTGTCCCTAAGATTAACAAGCCAAGAGTCGACGACAATCTTAGGGATGCGCCCAAAGAAACGGAGGGAATCCCTAAGATCGGCATCGAGATGAGGCGATGCCAATCACAGGGATAGGGATATGTTCCAGGCTGGTGATCCCAAGCTCGATTTCGGGCGCTGGTGGACGTGCCCCCCAGGAGTCTCGGGGTGGCCCAGACGGCCTCCAGGGCACCCCCCAGGAGGCCCAGAGGGCCCCCGGGGGCCCAAAAAGGGAGCGAAGGAGCTGGGGGTGCCTTTTGGGCCAGGGGCACCTCCGGCAACGCCCGACAGTCGGTGAACGCCTTCTGCGTCGGCGCGTCGACACTGGGCGCTGGCTCCGGACCTCTGCTCCGTGCGACGGTTTGGAGCCGTGCGTCCCGTGGGGGAGGGGCTCCGCCGGCCTGAGGCAGGCGCCCGGAGCAGCCAAGATCTACTCCACGGGGATGGGGGGGGGTGCGAGGGGCATCAGCATCAGCATCAGCATCAGCATCAGCATCATCATCATCATCATCATCATCATCATCATCATCATCATCATCATCATCATCATCATCATCATCAGCATCATCATCATCATCATCATCATCATCATCATCATCATCATCATCATCATCATCATCATCATCAGCATCAGCATCATCATCAGCATCATCATCATCATCATCATCATCAGCATCAGCATCAGCATCATCATCATCATCATCAGCATCATCATCATCATCATCATCATCATCATCATCATCATCATCAGCATCAGCATCAGCATCATCAGCATCATCATCATCATCATCATCATCATCATCATCATCAGCATCATCATCATCATCATCATCATCATCATCATCATCATCATCATCATCATCGTCGCCGACCGGCAGAGCAAGGACTAAAAAAGACGGGCACCTCTCGCGTGAGACGCTCCCGAACTCGACTGCCCGGGAGAGTCTTCACGTTCGCAGCACACGCGGGAGGCGGCGGTTTGCCTGCTCGAAACGGGGCCCTCGCTGGACACCCCGCCCGAGCTGCGTGGTCCTCCGCCGTCGTAGGGTACACCCCGCGAAATGCTTAAGAAATCATGGGTTCAGAAATTCATAGTCTCAGAAATTGAATAAAACCCAGAATCTCTATCAAAATCTTGGGATTTACATTGAAAAGTTAAGAACGATCGAGACTCTGGACGAAAACTTAGGTTTTCTTAAGCATCGCCTAGGGTGTAGGGTAGGGGCCCGACCACGAGGGACCTGCCACAACGAAACCCAACCCTGAGGCCCCAGGGCGTCCACTGATCTTTGGTGTGGGAGTGTCGCGCCTTCCATCGCAAGAGCCATCGAAGCCCAAGAAACCCAGGGGCACCCTGGAGGCCAGCAGGGTGCTTCTTGGCAGGGGCCTCCACCGTATCCCCTCTGGCTCGCTGGAAGGATGCTCTTGTCTGACTGGAAGTCCTGTGGGGTGCTGATCTGTTCATGAAGCGCGTCTGGGACTGACAAAAAAAGCCTGCGTCGACTGATGAGGAGGAACTCGTGACGGGAGGGTGTATTGCGACATCTTTGTCGCGTCCTGGGCTTACGCGGTTCACTCGCCCCCTCCTCCTTCTCGTCCCCCTCCTCCTTCCCACGCATACTGCCCACTTAGCACTGTTCCTCCTCCTCCTCCTCCACCTCCTCCTCGGTCGGTCGGTCAGCCGAAGCGCAAGAAGGTCGAAGCGCATGGTGGCGAGAGGAGGGCCGAGAAGACCATGATGAATCACAGAGCCACCAGCAGCAACAAACGCAAGGGGAACGTCTGGCGGTCGAACCGGGGGCACGATCGCTCGAGGTTGACCAGATATAGAGACAAGGGCAGGAGAACGAATGGGCCGGGTAGACAAGACGAGACATTCCCCCGCATCTGCAGGTCTTCATCGACCGATCCTGACACTTGACACCGGACGGAATATGAAGCCTGCAATGATGGCAACACCACAGTTCAAGTCAATGTCGGCACTAGCATGAATGCAACCAGGGCGAGGCGAGGTATATCTGCAAGCCTCCACCCTGGACAGTCTTCCTCCCCCTCCTCGCTACTTCATTGGCGGCCCAGAAAGGCAGCTGCTGTCCTCCTCCTTTTCCTCTTCCTCCTCCTCCTCCTCCTCCTCATCATCATCATCATCCTCATCAGCATCATCATCATCATCATCATCATCATCATCATCATCATCATCAGCATCATCAGCATCATCAGCATCATCATCCTCTTCTTCCTAAGTCCTCTCACTTACCCCCTCGCTCTCTGCGAGCGCGCGCGAGGAGGAGTGGGAGCAGAAGGAGTGAGAGGAGGAGGAGGAGGAGGAGGAGGAGGACGAGGAGGAGGAGGAGAAGGGGGAGGGGGAGGGGGAGAGAAGGAAGAGGAGAAGGAGGAGGAGGAGGAGGAGGAGAGGCGGAAGGAGCAGGACGAGAACGAGAGGGGTAAGGTAGAAGAGGAGGAAGACGAAGAGAGTAGTGGAGAGCAGGAGGAGGAGAGGGAGGAGGAGGAGAGGGAGTAGGACGAGGACCAGTGTAAAACCAAGACGCATCAACGATGTTGAAAACCCTCCGTCCAAGTTCCCTCTCCATTACTCCCTGCAAGAATATATGCGGGAAGTAAGAATCCAAGAAATTCGCGTCAACACGCCATTCCTGAGTGGGACTTCAGCGCCGCGGATCCATATGACTGGTGGGTCCTGACGTTCCTACATCGCGCCAGGGCACCATTCCTGTGACTCCAACCATCGGAACCCTTGAAACGGTTGCAAACGTTCACGGCGAATGACCGCGGCAGTAAGGCGACCAAATGTTGAGAAGGAAGCACCCTCCAGCCTTAAAAGTGTTACAAAGTGCCAGATGCAAAGTGAGATATACATATTGAAAGAGACTCGCCGTCCACCCACGAAACTGCAGGCAAGCGGTTCAAGCGAATATGCCCGGGGATGAGGCGAAGCCCACACTTGAAAACGGGCCCACCCTCCATCCGTGAAACTGCCGCAACTGCAAAGCAAATGTGCAAGCCGCGAAGGCGAGAACCGCATGAAAAAACGGCCCGCCCTCCATCCATGAAGCTGCTGCACGTTTTTAAGACGAATGCACAACGCGCTAAGGCGAGAACCGCGTGATATATATATATATATATACTAAATGTATAAGTATATATAATAATGATATAGATATACAAATACATATATATATATATATACACAAAGAAAAAGAAGAACAGGCCCGTCCTCCATCCGCGAATCTACCGCAAACGGTTCCTTCGAGTATGCGCAACGCTAAGGCGAGAACCGCATTTTGACAAGGGCCCGCCCTCCAGCGGTGAAGCTGGTGCAAACTTCATGTTCCAGGACCACAAGTGGGGAGGAAGTCCCAGGCGAAACGCCTGGCCCGCCCCACCGACACGTCGGGGCGGGCGCAACACAGAGGAGTGATGTATAAGGGAATGGGATGGAGGAGGAGGAGGAGGAGGAGGAGGAGAGAGAGAGAGAGAGGAGGAAGGAAGAGGAGGACGACGAGGGCGACGAGGAAGGGAAAAGGACGACGAGGACGACGACAAGGAGGAGGACGACGGGGAGGGGGAGGAGGACGACGAGGCAGGGGAGGCGGAGGGAGGACGAGGACAGCGGCTGCGGCTCCTGGCTGGTTTCCTGCCGCAGCATCCCCGAGGGGCTCCAGGAGCCCCACGGCGTGGCAACGCTGCCAAGGCTTTCCCCGCCAGGAGTCTTGACCTGCGGCATACAGCG